GCCCCTGCGTGTGCTCGGGAGGCTGATGTCACCCTGGGCTCCCTGTCCCCAATATAAGTCCCAGCCAGGCTGGTGCACGGGGACAGGGTCTCTGCAGCGATTGGGCATCCTACAGCCATGTCCTCTGCTCCAGCCTCCAGGTCCTGGCACCATCCCCAAGGCACACCGAGGCCGGCATGGCTCTGCCTCCTGCTCCTGCTGACTGCCTGCACGCCTGCGGCCGGCACCAACCCTGGCATCAAGGCCCGGCTGACCCGGAGGGCACTGGAATTTGGTGGGTCTCGTGCCCCTGACCACCTGGGGGGGAACAGGGCAGGGAGTGGAGGGGGATGATGCCCAGACTGCCTGGGATGGGGGATGGAGGGGTGTCCTGGACCTGTCTGCTTACCGCACCGGCACCCCAACCCCTTCCCTGGCATCCTCCCCCAAATCCTTGCTCTGTCCCAGGCCGGCGTTTTGGGCTGGAGCAGCTCCGGTCACTGCTGCAGAAGGAGCATGAGCTGAACTTGAAGGGCTCCTACCACAGCCCGCTCCTGGGCACATTCACCTATGCTGTACCCCGGTAAGAGCTGCCCACGGGGTCTGTGTCCCCATCCCCATCCCCGCCATGCACCGGGCACAGCTGCAAGCCCAAGCTGCCCATGTCGCACAGGATCCGCATCCATGAGCTGCAGATAAATGACTCTGCCGTGGACTTTGCCGAGGATGTGGGGGTGAGGCTGACAGTGCAGTGTGCCCGCATCCAGCTCAGCGCCGATTGGGAAGCCCAGCTGGGCGCCATGTGAGTCCTTACCTGCACGGGGCACAGGGTCAGGGACCTGGGCAGCTCAAGGTGGCTCAGGGCCACCGCTGTCCCCATGCTCACCCACTCTGTCCCCAGCCAGGACAGGGGCTCTGTCGAGCTCTGCATGCGTGACCTGGACGTGATGGCAGTGCTGGGAGTGAGCGTGGACAGCAACGGCCGCCCAATGGTGTGGAGCGCTGGCTGCGACACCCGCAGCACCCACCTGCATGTGAAGTTTCACCGTGGACACAGGTAATGCCAGGACCCCCATTTCCCTCCTGTCCCTGGCACACAGGGACTCCCCGGTGCCCCCAGCTGGGGCAGTGAGCTGAGGGAGGCTGGGGTGCCGTGGGGTGATCTGAGGACCGCCCTCTGCCCCACAGCTGGCTCTACAACCTGCTGACACCACTGGTCCAGAGATCCCTGCGGCAGGAGCTGAACAAGCAGGTGGGTGCTTGGCCCCTGTGCTGTGGGGTGTTGGTGTCCTCGTCCCCCTTCCCCTCCCCAGCGGGCCCAGTGAGTGGCTTGGGGACCCCCATCTGTGAGCTTGCTGACGCCCTGCTCTTCTTCCAGCTCTGCCTCGAGATCCGCAGGGGCATCCTCAGGCTGGAGGCTGCCCTAAAGCACATGAAAGGTGGGTGAGGGGACCCTGGGGACTGGGGCAGGAGAGGATTGAGCAGGGGGATCTGGGGGGACTGTGCAGGGACCCGGTGCCCAGTGAGGTCTGTGGGACAAGGGCTGCAGGAGGAGGCCAGTGGTCCGGCTCTCCCCAGCTGCCCCTGTGTCCCTGCAGTGAGCACTCAGCTGGACCCCTTCGCCGCCATCGACCACTCCCTGCTGGGGCAGCCGGCCATCACAGCAGAGCACGGGGACGTCGCCCTCAAGGTAATGTTGTCCAGGTGTCGCTGGGCTGGGAACGAGGTGCAGGAGAGCTGGGCTGAGCCTCGTGTCCATCCATCCGTCTGTCTGCGCAGGGGGAGTTCTTCAGGGTGGGCAAGTACCAGCAGAGACCCTCCTCGCCGGTGCCCGTGGCGCTGCCCGTGGCGTTGCCTGAAGCCCTGCCCATGGCGCTGGCCGCAGCGCACGAGCCCATGCTGCTGCTGGCTGTCACCGAGTTCGTCGCCAACTCGGCTGCCTTCACATACTTCACGGCCGGGGCCCTGCGCAGGAACATCTCCAGCAGCATGGTAGGGGTGGCTCTGGCTGTAGCTGTGGGGCAGAGCTGCCCTGCTGGGGTGTCCCCGCACCCGCCTGTGCCTTGTGGCACCAGCGCCCTAACTCCTCTGCTGCCTTCCAGCTCCCGCGGCGGTTCCCTCTCCAGCTGACTACCAAGAGCATGGGGGTCTTCTCCCCGCAGGTGGGCACGGGTGGGATGGGACACAGGGAGAATGGGACATAGAAGGGATGGGACGTGGGATGGGATGCAGGAGGGACAGGATGCAGGTGGGATGGGATATGGGATGAGTCACAGGTAGAATGGGATGCAGGAGGGACATGGGATGGCATGCAGGCGGGATGGGACACAGGAGGGATGGGATGCAGGTGAGATGGGACATGGGATGGGACACAGGCAGGACAGGACATGGGCAGGTGGACCACAGGCAGGGCAGGACGCATTGCCCACCTTGCCTGCACCCAGGGTAGGGCAGTGATGGGCCACACAGCCCGCAGATGGTGGTGGGGGTCAGCTGGGAGCCAGGGCTGGTGCCCACAGTGACGGTGGTGCCAGTGTGGCTCCGTGCCAACCCAACCCTTGTCCCCCCAGCTGCACGAGCGCTACCCGGACCAGCCCATGGAGCTGCACCTCTCAGCCCGCCGGCAGCCCCTGCTCTCCTGCCACCCCGACGCCCTGCATGGGGCCCTTTTTGGCTCTGCTGAGGCCTTCGTGGTGCTGCCAAATGCGACCCGTGTCCCCGCTTTTCTACTGAACATCGTGAGTGTCTGGTGCTGCCATGGCACAGGGTCTGGGGCCTGACCTCAAAGGGCTTGGCTGGGGCTGACCTCGCTGGGGCGATGCTGGGCAATGCAGGGTTGCAGGCACTACCCTGGTTTTTCCAACTTCTCTTGCTACAGGATGCCAACGTGACAGGGAAGCCAACCATCACCGGGAACAGGCTCAGGGGCACCGTGAGCCTGACGGGGTGAGTCCCCAGCCCTTTGCTGGGTCTTGCCTCCCCATGGATGTCCCCAGGGAGCTCTCTCCATTCTCCACCTCTGGTCGTTTGCCTCCCAGGGTCCCGTATCCCTTGCTTGGACCCCATCCTGCCCCCTGCTCTCCTCCATGCCCACTGCCCTGGCACTGGTACCCCAGCTAGGTCCTCAGCTGGACCCACTGCTGGGGTCCCAGCCTGGCCATGGAGCTCAGCCCATCCCTGCCCTGGGAGGAGGCAGTCCCTGTCCCCGTGCCTGGCTCTCACCCTGCTCTCTCCCTCCAGGCTCAGCGTGGCGCAGGTGACATCACACATGGGCCCCGTGGAGGTGAGTGGCCATGCTGGGGGCGCGACGGGGCAGCCGAGGGGACCCTTGGGCTCTGCATCTTCCTGGGAGCAGAGTCTGGGGGTGCTGTGGGCCCCATGCAAGGCCAGTGCTGCCGAGTGCTTGCACAGGCAGCGGGTGCAGATCTGGCAGGGGAG